TCCCTCCGTGGCGGCACAGAGCTTCACGGGGCTGGATGTTCGAGAAGGGTGCTGCCAGAGCACAGATGCTCTTGGTACCGCCGGCCGCTCTGCGTCGGCGTTCGAAGGGCCGTGTGGGTCTCCAGGCGAAGCTCCAGCCCGGCAGTGCCTGTTGCCTCGCAGAGGAGTAAGGGCTCCGGCTTTCGGAGGAGGCACCCAGGCGACTGATAACATAAATATATCTTCTGCTTGCTTTGTTTCTGTACGTTTTAAGGCCATCTCTCTCGGAAGGCCTCCCTCCGCCCCTGTTTTTTCCTGCCTGCACAGCTGAAACAAAACCGGTGGTGGAGCCACCTTCTCTCGCTGGAGCCTGGCTGGCAGCAGCCTGCCCTGACCTGAGACACCAGCCATTGTTAAGGGTATAACACATTTACATATTTTGCAATAAAACATCAGTTATTTGCATTACTGTGTCAAGTTTTATTTGATTCTTTCACCTAAAAATGACTCATTTTCCTTTCTTGTATTTTAAAAACCAACTACTCTAAGCTTGTTTGAGAATAATCAAAAATTGCCCATTTAGCTAGAAGTCATTTTCTTTTCAAAAGGCAAATGTTATTTAATCTTTCAGCTGTTCATTGTGCCATCATAAATACTTTCTTTTCAGCACAGTTGTGGGGACTGAAATGAGCCCACTAATTGCCTCCCATTTCGACTGACATGTGGTGGTTTAGTGGAAAGAGAACACAGCGGGGAGAAGGAAATAGGAGGCTGAGAAAATGAGAGCTAATTATTTTCACTGCCTCATGTCAGGCTCTGTGTCAGCCTTGTTTTTACAAACTGGAAGGTTTAGCACTAAATAAAACAAACTGGCGTCATGTTTTTATATACTGGCAGTGTCATGGAAGCAGCTGCACATCTCAAAGACAATATAATGCCTGCATTCGCATGGACACCATCTGACAGCCACTGTGAGCCACTGCTAATGAGGATATCACAGTGGTGCCAAGTGAAAGGTGCTGAATTATGTATGATTCTTCATCAGTGCAGCAATAGTCCTGTACATCATTATGAGACATTGTTTTGCTGAAGAGATTAAAACATTCTTAGTTCCAGACCCTGCAACCTATACACGCTACAAGAGGTTATTAATGGAATTTTTAGGGAGAGTTTCTTGTGGATTTCTTTTTGGTTAAAAATATCTCATGGGACAAAGCCATGGTAGGTCATGACACTATATATATAAAGAAGAGAAGCAAATTAACCATAATTGTGTTATCTTCCTTTAAATCCAGAATAATAAAATATAGTGTAGCAGGGTGATACATAATGATAAATAACCCAAGTGCTGTCACTAGATGTTCAACTCTAATGCCTTTAAAACAGCAGGTTTCAGCAGCTGAGATAGATAATAGCTAAGAATGTAAAGGAGCTTCTGGGGACCTAAATCGTCAACGTGCTACTACTTTTAGTACCAGCATGACCAACATTTTTTTCCTATTTGTTTCATCTTGCGCTACATCTTCCTTTTCTTCTAATATCCCGTTGCCTGCTACAATGCCGTCTCCATTTTTACTTCAATCTTACCAAAAAAAAAAAAACCAACCCCAAAACCAAAACTTTATTGCAACTGCTGATTTTGAAACAGATCCTGGATTTGGGCCTCCTTGAAAAACAAGGTGTCTCCCCAGCAAGAGTTTTAAGCTGTTGTTGCAAGAGACATGTTTGTTGTTTAAAGCCCGTGCCTGATCCTTTTCATTTCCCTTTCAGTTTTTGTTGCAAACGTTAGTGCATATGGGGTTAAGGGAGTATTGTCGCCACAGTAAGCAGGAGACTTAATTTTTAGAGTGTTCTTATTTTCTGTGGTGAAGCTGAGGAGAAGTGGCTCAAAATACATGCGTGATTTGCTTTTCTTTTCCACAGTCATTTGCAGAGGCTGCTGATTTATTGGCTTTGTCAAAGTGCTATTTGGAAATGTTTTTCACACAAAGTTTTACTGGTTCTGCCTCTCAGTTCTGAAACTGGGTTTCTTTTTTAAAAAAACAAAAAGCTGAAACTCTTTATTTAAATCAAAACCGAGCAGGTAAATATTAGGAGGTGTTTTAATGCTTGAATTATATGTCCAGGGAAATGTCTTTGAAGGACTTCGTGGAAGTATATCTATCAACCAGGCATTCGGAGCAAGCCATTTCCAGATTTCTTTCCAACATAAGCCTGGCACTAAATATAGTTTCGATCCCACAAATCTTCTGGCTCTCATTCATCAAAGAATTGACATACATATTCTAGCCAAATTTTTGCTTAAGTGGCTGAGCATCTCTCTCCATTTGCTAAACCTTAAACTCGATTGGAAAACAGAGAAATACGTCCCTTTTTGCAGCACGCAAAACTTGGTTTATTTACCGTGTGGCTGAGTAAAAATGGTTACCAAGTTTGTAAGACAAGTAGCCATCTACTTATCTTAGGTGTTTCCTGAGTGCCTTGATTCAGAAGTCACCCAGCTGCTGCCTTCCGTCCATCCATCCATCCTTCCTATCTTTTTGCCTTTTCTCCCAG